GCACTATTCTGTTTCCCATCCATCAACTTTAAAGTAGTTAAATTAACAATTTAGTGCAATTTATTATTATTTAATTATTTCCTCGTACAGCACTAAAGCTGCCCGAGGGTTGCCCCGAGCAACGCACACGCGTCATCGGTAGAGGGGCAGAGATTTCTAATTTGCGTTCAAAATGCAAAACAAATACACACGACGCTGAGGTAAATTCATCAAAGTATCATGTCCTCTTCTCCTCCCCCCACCCCAATGTGTGCACTTACTATTTTCGGGTCGGTAGATACTAATATTATAGGGCTTAGTATTATTGTAGCGTGGGCGAGGGGATGGTGGGGGGATGAGTAGCCGCCCAGCTCCCAGCCTGCCAAGGTGCCACCTCGGCCGGCTGGGCAATCTAGGCAAGGCCAGGGGCTCTTTACGGGACTAGGCTTCACCACGGCACTCTGTCAGGTTAGTAGTTTGTGCTATAGAGTCGATATATACTGATATAGAGTCAGCATGTACTATTGTAGTGATAGAAGGTACCACCACAGTCAATATGTACTGCTGTAGTCATAGCAGGCACTACCACAGTATGAACTGCTGTAATCATAGCAGGTACCACCACAATTGGTATGCACTGCTGTAGTCATAGCAGGTACCACCACAGTCGTTATGCACTGCTGTAGTGAAAACAGGTACCACCACAGTCGGTATGCCCTGCTGTAGTGATAGCAGGTAACACCACAGTCGGTACGCACTGCTGTAGTGAAAGCAGGCACCACCACAGTCGGTATGCACTGCTGTAGTTACAAGCAGGTACCACCACAGTCGCTATGCGCTGCTGTAGTGAAAGCAGTTACCACCAAAGTCGGTATGCACTGCTGTAGTCATAGCAGGTACCACCGGAGTCAGTATGCACTAAAGGCCGACCGAATTTCGGTTTCGGTTTTGGTTTCGGCGCCGAAAGTTGGCAAATGGCCACTTTCACCATACTTTCGGTTTTGGCCAAAAGTCAATTTTTAACTTTCGGTTTACTTTCTAGATTTGAAGTTTTTGTGACTGCAAGGATCCATACTTTTGCCTCTTTCGGTAAAGTCACGTAGGTAAAGAAAAAAAAACATTAAATCACGACGTTTCGATTGCAACACAAGCAATCATCATCAGGTGTGAACACCACAGCAAGAAAATTTATACTAAAGTGGGAGAGATGCCAGGAGGCTATATAAGTCAAAAAGGGGGGGGGGGGGTGGGAGGGGAAATGGTGGGGCAGGGGGGAAAGGGAGCAAGGGGAGCAGTGCTGCTAATTTGCTTTGGGTGCCCTCATTGGTTTTAGCTGCAGTCGTAGCGGCTGCGTCGCTCTTTTTTTTCCTCCCCGCGCATCTCTAACTCACTCGGCCTCTCGCTTCTGGCCCCGCCTACTTCCCCTCCTACCCACCCAGTTTCGCATTCCCAGTCCCTGGCGTCAACGAGGCGCCCTCCACCGCATCGACACGGCGAGGCCGCGCTTATCCGGCAGAACCCGTACCGCCTCAGCCCGGCGGAGGAGCACGTGCGGCTCGCGGACGATGAGATGCTCACCGTGGATGTCATCTCGCCGTCCACCAGCCCGTGGGGAGCCCCATCGTGCTCGTTAAAAAACAGGATGGCAGCTTGTGTTTTTGCATAGATTTTCGCAAGCTGAATAAGATATCCGTGGCAGACGCTTATCCCCTCCTGCGGATGGACGATTCCCTATGTGCTTTGGCGGGCGCACAATGTTTTTCCACCTTGGACCTCCTGTCTGGGTTTTGGCAAGTACCTCTCGGTGAAGCTTCTAAGGCAAAAACTGCTTTCTGTACACCTCAAGGCCTCTTCCATATTAACAAGCTTCCGATGGGGCTCCACTCCACTCCGGCCACGTTCTAGCGGCTGATGGAGCGGGTCTCCAGTGGGACTCTTGCTTAATATACCTCGATGACGTGATCATTTTTAGTCGGACGTTTGAGGAACATCTCGTCCGGCTACACGCCGTCTTCCTGAAAATGCGGGCGGCGAACCTAAAGTTTAAGCCGCAAAAGTGCCACCTGCTCCAGAAGTCTGTACGCTACCTGGGGCAATTCCAGCATTGCAACGGATCCCGACAAGACGTCGTGTGTCCGGAGCTGGCCTACCCCCACCTCGGTGGGGGAGGTCCGCAGTTTTATTGGATTTGCGTCGTACTATCGTCGTTTCATCCGCATTCATCGCGCTCCACGTTGCCCTGGTTAACGCACCCCCCCTCCGCTACCCCGACTTCTCCGTGCCATTTGTCCTGGACACGGACGCGAGCAACACTGGCATTGGCGGAGTCCTGTCCCAGGTGGTAGACGGGGTGAAGTGCGTTGTAGCTTATGGCAGCAGGGTGCTGTCACCACCCGCACAACGCTACTGGGTTACGCACCGAGAGCTCCTCCCAATTGTTGTTTTCATCTAGCAGTATAGGCCCTACCTGTATGGCAGGTGCTTTTTGGTGTGCTCTGACCACGCGGCGCTGCAGTACGTGCTGCGTGTGGACCAGCCTGCGGGCCAACTCTCACGCTGGCTGGAGATCCTACAGGAGTATTCCTTCATGGTGTCATAGCGGAAGGGGGCCCAGCATTTGAACGCGGACGCCCTGTCGTGACTGCCGCCGAGCGACAGGTGCACGTGCTTCTAGGGCTCGGGGCGCTGTAGGGTGTCCCTCAGCGGTGTCCTGTGTTGCCGTTTCCAGGTACCTCGCAACTAGCGGACCCCAGGCCACCTTCGGCCCCGGTCCCCCGGCCTTAGGACAATGTCGACCCGGCTGGCCGAATGGCTGATCCCGGAGTGACACCGGGCTCACCGGGATGCTCACGGTGCCAGCTGGGGGCCTTGGGAGGGGGAGGTGCAGGTGCAGCCACATACGATGGGCCGGACACAAGGACTGGTTCATGGCGGATTTTGTGACCACCCTACGCGCGCCCACACACCGCTTCGGGTGGTCGGGGTTCTGGTTGTTGCAGGGGTTCTGTTGATTTTGTCCTTGCTCTTTCCTCACATTTCCATTGTCCCCTCACATCCATGTATATCGTGTATATGTTGTACAGGCGGGCTGGGGTATTTATTGGGGTTCATGTTATCGTTGTGTGTGCAAGTCGATGTGTGTGTGCGGGTCGATGTATGTGTGTGCGGGTCGATGTATGTGTGAGTGTGTGTGTAAGTCGATGTGTGATTGTAAGTCGATGTGTGTATGTGTGAGTCGATGTGTAAGTCCATGTATGTGTGTGTAAGTCCATGTGTGTAAGTCGCTGTAAGTCGAACTGCGTGTGTATAAGTGGATGTGTGTGTGAGTAGATGTATGTGTGTGAGTCGATGTGTATAGGTTCATGTGTGTGTGCAAGTCGATGTGTTTGTGTGAGTGGGTCGATGTCTGTGTGTGTGCAAGTCGATGTGCGTGTCTTTTTCGCCCGGGCAACGCCGAGTACTTCCCGCTAGTGGCTCATAAATATAATGCAGTGGATGTTTATCCAATGGTGGATAGACCTTGGCTCATGGTGATGTGGACATCGATATTCAGCAGTGGATAGACCATGGCTCATGATCCTGATGTACACGAGTTTGTACTTTACCAGCACCAGTGTGACACGTGACGCAGCACTTGGACATGTGTCATTGCTTGAATGAAACATTAGGCCGCTATATGTTTTTGCTGGGTACGTGGCCATTAATAATGAACTAAAATGTATTATTTCCCACTTACAACGCATCGAATGCATCATAGCGCGATTTATAATTTACGGAAAAGTTTATACTCGGGCTAATAACTAACAATCATACTTAATACAGGATTTTTAGGTTAGATCGCGTAAATGTCGTTAAACCTGCCACCACCCGACATAGCCAATTAGCTAAGTTTGTCACGTAAACAGAACATGCCCATTGGTCACTAGTACAGCACACCGGTGTATTGATATTGGTTGTGAAAGCCTACGTGTTAAACAATCATACTATAAAGATAGACACGATACAAAATACAATCCATACGACAAGACACATATAAGACAATCATATTTTGTATGTTACCAGGTAAGGCCCACTGAGCTATGTAGCTTTTTTTCATAGATACTTGGCCACAAATGATAGCTTAACGAAGTGCAGGGAGGGGCTGGGTGGGGAGGGTGGGACTGGGTGGGGAGGGTGGAGCTGTGTGGGGGGTGGGGCTGGGTGGGGAGGGGCTGGTCACCCCGTGGTGCCCTTATAAAACTAAACGTTTAACCTACTCACGCCGGCTTGTGTCCGCCCTCACAGTCGGGCATATTTGCGGAATACACCACGCCACCGTTGACCCTGGCCATTGACCGAGCAACCCAACGTTCCTACCAGCTCCCTCCGCAGCAGGAAAGTGTTTCATAGCGACTTGGCCACAAATGATAGCTCAGCGAAGTGGCTTACCGTGTGGAAACTTACAGCAGCGAAAAACGCATGATGTTGATTCTCGATGATTCTGGAAACATGAACCCCAAACTGCAATGATTCAAACACTCGTTTAACTAGTGGTGAATCGCTCAATTTGTGGCTAGATTTCAGTTCCGAGAGTTAAAACAAATAAATCAGTTCGACTGTCACGCAGACGAGCATTAACTACGCAGAGTGGGAGCGGACGTGTGACGCTCTCTGCTGTGCGTGGGGCAGAGCGCCACTTGAAAGAGGGCATCTCAAGAGGCAGCTCTGGGATATCCGCTTCTGAGGGCCGTTTCTCTCTCTGCGAAACACGCGAACGGACTTATCTCCTGCTCAAGCAGATAAAAAAAAGACAAAAATTATTTTAAAATGTGAGGGCAAGTCCATCCACTTCTAGGTTTCTGAAGTGTTAATGACCGTGTCGAGTTTGTCATGTCCTTCGATAAGGCCACTGTGCTCCCGTTGAACAACTCTTGCGGTCACAACTGCCGTTCACCACCCAAAGTGGTGGTGATGTCACCAACTGCGTTTGTGCCAGGCTAGGTGCACCTCGTCGTTACAAAGACACTCACGGAGACACAACGGACCAAAGAAATTGTATTAATTTGCAAATTCTCATTTAAAAAAGTTACGCAAATCGATTTCACGTGGCATCGGAAAAAAGAGTAAATGGACTCGGGACGTCTCCCCGACGGTGATTCGGACGCCATGGCCCTGAAATTAATGCTCCATTAGTGGACCCAGGACGAATTCGATCTCAAACCGAACAGAGCAGTGTGGTGGATGTGCGCTCTCTCACTTGCTCATTCAGTGGCATTTGTAAGCCAAATAAAAATGATATTGCATTGCAATCGTTGCTCACCAACAGCATGTTGTGTTTGTGGATTTGTATGTGTAGGCGCATATGTGTGTGTGCTGCGTGCGTATGTGGGCAGCGGAGTAGTGGTTAACACACACTGGCGACCCGAGTCAGATTCCCGCTCACGGCTAACATCGGTGATGAATATCTGAACCTGGTCCTGGACGTCCCCTAAGGTCGACTCAGCCTTAAATGAGTACCTGGTATGGTGAGTAAACATCAGCAATGGGTAGACAAAAACGGCCGGCCGGCCGAGCGTGTTGCTAACCACCCACCCCTTCGTGTGCTGGGTTGGTCTGCACAGGTGCTCGCTAACAACACTTTCCCCAACAATCTGTTAAGGCTATATTGGAGGCATTTTTCTCTGTGTGCTTGTGTCTGCGTACACGTGTGCATGTGCGTGCGTGCATGTGTCTGCGTGCATCATCACAGTCCAATGCTCTTTCACCAAATTCTGACAGTGCAGCAGCAGCTGCTGATTTGACGTTTACGAAACGGAATCTCGGGAAACGCGCCGCTACAATCAGTCGCAGTCGGCGCCAATTCGTCACTGACACGCAATCTCACGGCGCTACAACACGAAACGACCACGACGCCTAACCACAAAGCCGCACACCCACCACCACCACTACCGCGACGGTGAGACGTGACGCCACACGGCACCGCCCAAAGCCGCCGCCTCACCCCACCCCCGCCCCTGGCGGCGGCCTACAGCTTGGCCTTCCTTTGGAAGAAGCCTGCGATGGCGGCCATGCAGTCTTCGGACTGCCAGCGCTCAATAAGGCACTGGCACTCGCGCAAGTTGGCCGCATGCAGCGCCTCCCGCTCCGCGTCGCGTGACAGCTGCTTGGAGAACGCCAGGGACTGCGCACGCAAACGCGACGACACATGGTTAGTTTGCTTGTTCTTACCCCCCAGCCCCGGCACCTCCGAATAGCACGGTTAACGATGTACGGTGCGAAAGAAGTTCAATGCACGTATGTGCCCTGCGACGCAACCTCGTTACGTGGAGCGGCGCAAATGGCCGTCGTCGCGCTTCGCACAGTTGGAGCATCGTTCGTACGGAGTAATAAAAAGTAATCCAAACTACAAAACTTTTAATATTTTTACTGTACCAGGTAAGGCTTATCATGTGGATATGTATAGCAGCCAAATACTTTCATGCATGCATGTTGATTCAGACTCTCTTTCAGGAGGGTCCTGCCAAGTTTTTTCAGCAGTGGGCGGCAATGTTTGCTGCGTGTGATCCCAAGCGAGTCAATTCTCAGGTCATTCTTGTTCAGCACTGGGATGCTTTTGGGCCAATTCCCATTACAGTGAAAAACAGTTCAATCGTACACCTTACCGCGTGTTTTTTTTACCATTATAAGAAATCTGAGAAGCCGGAGGAAACCCATGCAAAACACACAGAAAAGGCACCCGGAGTCGGGGTTCGAAACCAGGTCCTTCTTGCTGCGAGGCATGAGCGTTAACCGCTGCGCCCCCCCCCACCCCCACCGTGCCCAACTGAGCAATTTGCACAAAACAATAGAAACGATGGAACAACGATGGAACCATGCACCTTCTTGGGCAGCTTGGCCAACGTTTCCAAGCGAGCCCACACCTCCCGCTGGAAGCTGTTGTCGGGGTAGACTTCGGTGACAAGGCCCAGGTCGCACGCCTGCTGGGACGTCAGCCTCTTGTTGAAGAGAAGCATCTCGGTGGCCTGGGAGATCGTGAGGACAGGGTGCGCATGAGACGGACAGAGGAAGACGAGCAGGAGAATGTGCGCACGTAGCATGCACTTACATTTTACGTGCGGATGTGTGTTGTTTATATGTGTTGTCACTCTGTGAATGTCCGAAACACCTGGAATTCTATTGGCTCAAGTAGACTCACACAAAGGCCAGTAAACTCGCCCAGAGACCCACAGACTCAGTGGAGACACATTGGGCATGTTTCTCTGATAATGCCCCAAAACACCTGGAATCCCATCGCTTCATGCATCCTTTGGTTACTCCTTTTGTCCAATCAGAATTTGATGCCGAGCTCTCTATTCTTCTTGATAACCTCACATGCAATTACCATTTGACCTATACCCTAGGAATGTATGTGGGTAGTCCAGGTGGTGCTGGTGAGTAGGAGGAGGAGCTGATGTTATTGACAACGCTGCTGGCTAGCGGCTTGCGCGCTCGCATGATATTGGCGATCCTGGTGGTGTGCCAAGCCTCTGGAGGCAGTGGGCCAAGTGGCGTCGGTACGGGCAGCGAGCGCCAGGATGCCAAGGTACGGCATTGGCGGAGCTCACCTTGGCGGCGCCCATGAGCTTGGGGAAGATGTAGGAGGAGCAGCCTTCGGGGCTCTGACCCAGCTGGCTGAACGGGGTCTGGAATGTCGCCTTCAAGGGAGACAGAGCGAGCACCGTGAGCACGCACCGAGATACTAAAGAGCTATTAAACAATTTTTATTTTACCAGGTAAGGCCTACTGAGCTATGTAGCTCGTTTTTCAGAAGCCACCTGGGTATCACAAATGATAGCGTAACGAAGTGGTGGCTTATCGTGTGGATCGAACCCACTACCTCCTGTATACCAGGCGATGGAGATAACATCTCACCACCGGTGGCGCCTCCATTCTTCATGCAGGCAAATCGTACGCAAACGTTACTTGAGGCAAATAGTCAAAAGAATCAAGAGTACAATCGAGGTAGGCCAAATAATACGGAAAATATAGATGAGACAGAAAAAAAAGACTTGCAGATCAAAACAGTACTGACACAAAAGACAAGGTGTATGTGTGTGTCTGTGTAAGCACGTCTTTCTGAAGTCGACTACGAAGCGTAAGAACCCACCTGTTGCGAGATCGGACGACGAAGACAGCACGGAAGAGGTCCCCGCAATGTCCCCGGAGTCCGGGGCCCCGGAGATGCACCCCGTGGAGCCTGGCCAACCCGTGCAGGATGTGGTGGCCGTGGCCGGCCACTCACCACAGCAGGAGAGCTGGTGACTCCTCACCAGCCAGTTCGGCCAGCTGTTGCAGTCGGCCATGCATCTCGTCTCCCTGATGTTGGAGGTGGTAGCCCAGCTGCGCGTGCCCGTCACTTTTTTGGAGCGAGATCGGGCACTTCCCGCTGTTTCTCCTCCAGCTATGTTCGAATTTGGCGTCGTTTTCTCAATGGACGCGACACAGCAATCGGCCGCCATCTTGCCCCCGGGTGCGCCGCAGTAACCAGGCGCTATTTTTAATGCGACACAGCAACCGGGCGACATTTTCTCCCAAGATGCGACACAGCAACTGGGCGCCATTGCCTCTGCTGCAGCGATGCCGCCGAGTGCATCTTCGGGAGCGCCCACGCCAGGCTTCAGCTCCGGCTCTTCCAAACTTCGTCGCCTACTGCCTGTTCGTCCAGCTGGCGGAGAATGGAAGTCCTTTCAAGGCCGGTTCGATGCGGCTTACGCCTCGGTCAGGTAGCCTATGGACGAGGCCCTCAAGGTACTCCTGACGGCATTAGATGATTCTCTAGCCGCATTAAATTTGATTCCGCCTGCGGACAGGGCGACGCTCCCCATGGCGTACGCCCAAATGGCTTTTATTTTTGAGCCGCCCTCCAGCGCACACCAGAAGTTCTTGCTGCGGAGGCGAGGGGAGGCTTAGACGTCTCTCGCCTTCCACAGCTACTTATTGGCGCTGAGTCGGGCGGCCTACCCCAATATGGATTGTGCGGTGCTCAACTCATGTGGGAACTCGGTGTAGTTTTGGCTATAGCAGAGGAGGCGGACATCTTTCCCTTAAAGTGGCGCAGGGGATCCAAGCACACCTCGGCCTGTGCCAGTGGCCTGGTGTGGCAGCGTGCGCAGGGGACCCAGGTCCAGCGAGGGCTGGCACGCTGCAGGACGAGAATCATCTTGCCGCAATCGTTGCACGCGACCAACGCTGGAGAGGCGCCAGGGGCCGCCGGCCAGAGCAGCGTCCACCATCTGCTTCCGCTGTCGCCAGCTTGGCTACATCGCGATGGGCTGCCGCAACGCTCCTGGGGCCTTTGGCGGGACGTCGTCTCCCTCCGCCTTCACATCAGCGTTATAATTCTGGGCCTCAGGCAAGTCGCGGCGCATCAGCCACTTGGCCGCTTCTCCCACCTCACACATCTAGTGAGGATAGGGTTCATGATCACCAGGGTACCACTAAAAGTTTGGAAACGCTCGATGTTCACTCACCGTCGGTTTCTGGGTGGCCTAAGCGGGTCCATCAATGGGCTGCGCTTGCGCATCGGGTTGTGGCGGCCGCGGCGGGTTCCTCCGCGGCCGCTGGTTACGTCCAAGGGGTGTAAGTCCGGATTTTGGTGGACATGGGTGCGTCGGTCACCATTATATCAGAATGCATTTTCAGGTTGTTCGATTGAGGCCTGTACAAGGGGCTTGCATTGCCGCTAATGGAGGTAGTTTAGGTATATTGCGTCACATTGTTGCCTCCATTAGAATTGGTCATATTGAATTGGAAGGCCCCGTCTTAGTCTCAAAGGCGTTGGCAGTGCAATGCCTTTTGGGCACAGATTTCTTGGCCAAAATTCCATGAAAATATTGATTGACCAGGGTTGTGTGGAGATGCCATCGGGCTGTCGTTTGAACTTTTTGCGTTCCCCCACCTTGTTGACTCCTCTTGCTGCCAGCATACGAGCTTTGGCTAGGGATTCCATGAACATTCCACCTGGGTCCCAAATATTGATACCGCTGAGGTTGCGCAAACCCCTGAAATTTCATACGGCAGAGGCGGGCATCCTCTTAACTCCAACTAACTACTTTTCGCGGACTTCCTGTTTGGTGGGTTCCCTGATGGTCGTGTTGAAGGACCAGGAGCCCTTTCTACAAATTCTAAACGCGGGTCCTTCACATGTAATTGTTCCGGCCGGCACCGTTTTGGCGCACGCGACCCCAGCTCTCCCACCAGACGACGCCATGCCGGTTGAGAGGGTTGTGGCTGGCGTAGTACAGGATGGGAAGCCCGACGACTCCTGGATTGATGCGTTTTGTCGGGAAAATGCCCTCTTGGACCTCGAGGAGCGGCAGCGGCTCCGTGCGCTTATTGAACGATTCACCGATGTCTTCAGTCACAGCAAATTTGATATCGGACCCACGTCCATATTAGAGCATCATATAGACACGGGGAAGTCACCCCCCATTCGGCTGAATTCCCATCGCTTTATCCCTAGAGAGAAGGATCATGTCCGTTTGGCCGTTGATGAGATGTTGGCGGCAGACAATCTCTCCTACTACTAGCCCTTGAGGCACCCCTTATTGTGTTAGTCAAGAAACGGGATGGGAGTCTCCGTTTCTGCGTCGACTTTCGTAAATTAAAAAAGAGTTTGGTGGCAGATGCCTATCCCCTTCCTCGCATGGACGATTCGCTTGACGCCCTCTCGGGTGCGTGCTTCTTTTCAACCCTATTTTTGCCTTCGGGCTTCTGGCAATTGCCATTGGATGAGGTCTCCAAACCCAAGACTGCGTTCCGCACACCCCAGGGGCTATTCCAATTCAATTGGCTTCCTATGGGCCTCCACTCGGCCCCCGCCCACCTTCTAACACCTCATGGAGATGGTCTTGGTGGGTCTCCAGTGGGAATCTTGCTAAATTTATTTGGATGATGTCATCGTTTTCAGCCGCACGTTTGACAAATACTTGCATCGTCTCGAGTCGGTCTTCGTCAAAGTGCGTGTTGCTGGCTTGAAATTTAAACCCTAAAAGTGCCATTTGCTGCAGCCATCGGTGAAGTATTTGGGCCACATTGTTAGTACGTCAGGTGTCGCCACAGACCTGGAAAAGACGGTTTGCATCCGTGCGTGGCCGACTCCCACATCTGTCGCGGAGGTTCGCAGCTTCATTGGCTTCGCCTCGTATAACCGTCGCTTTGTGCGGGATTTTGCGACTGTTGCGAAACCACCCCATGCGCTGTCCACTAAAGGAAAAAGTTTCATTGGGGCAAGGAGGAGGAAGCAGCGTTTGTCGCGCTTTGAGCGTCCCTGGCAGATGCGCCCCCCCTGGGGTATCCTGACTTCTCCCTGCCCTATCTGCTCGACACTGATGCCAGCGACACGGGGCTGTACTTGCCCAGGTGGTCAATGCCACTGAAAGGGTCATGGCGTATGGCAGTCGCGTGTTGTCCCCCCGCAGAGCAGCATTACTGTGTGACTCGTAGGGAGCAGCTTGCCATCGTGTTTTTCGTGCAATTGTATAGGCTCTACTTGTATGGCAGGTGGTTCACTGTTCGGACAGATAATGCGGCCCTGCATTATTCCTTGCACATCGATCAGCCCTCGGGTCAGCGGTCCCGCTGGCTTGAGGTGCTGCAGGTATTTGACGTCATCCACAGGAAGGGGGCACAGCATGGAAATGCGGATGGCAGGTATGCGTGCATGACGGACTCGGGTCGCTGCAGGGCCCCAATTGACACCGGGCTCCAGTTGATGGTGACAGCCGACACGGCTCCCCCTTCCGGGTGTGTCGCTGCACGTGGATTTCGGCCTAGGTCTCCCTCGGGATGAATGGTCTCGCTTGCAGATGGAGGACACCTCTCTGGTAAAGCTGCGACGCCGTGTTAAGTCGGACGGCCGTTTTTCCTCTCAGTCGACCGCCCCGGTTATTACCCTGCACGACGGCCTACCTATACGCTGAGATACGGAGCTGGAGAGATATTGTGTGATGGTGCCCACTGTCCTACGAGGGAAACCGACTCGTGCAGTTCACGAGAAGTTGATGCACCTTGGGTTCCACAAAACCTTTTAAACTCTTAAGCGGGATTATTACTGGCCGGGCGTAGAAAGCGACGTGACACTACTTGTGAGTGGCTGCCACGATTGTGTACAGCAGAAGGCCCCGGTTGTGCGTGATCGGCTCACGCTACAGTCCATCCAAGTTTCCCATGTGAATTAACTTGTGGCCCTCGACATTTTGGGCCTATTTCCAACTTCCCAACGGGGCCATAAGTATAATTTGGTCGGGGTAGAATACCTCACACGTTGGCCCATGGCATGGCCTTTGCAAAACCCATCGGCCTCGTCTATCACCGATGCCTTTTTGCATGGGTATGTTTTAGATAAGGGTGCCCCTGAACAACTGTTAACCGATCAGGGTCTGAACTTTTCTTCCCGGTTGCTCAAGGTCTGTGACCTCCTCGGCACCGAGAAAATACAGACCTCACCCTACCACCCTCAAACCGACGGGATGGTGGAGTGGTTGAATCGCACCCTCAAATCCATGCTGTGCCACGTGAGCGCGTCTCAGTTGGACTGGGACCTGTTTATTCCGGGTGTCCTTGCTGCGTACAGGTTGGCCCCTCACTCCTCAATGGGGTTTTCACCCTTTTACGTAATGTACGCGAGGGAACCGGAGCACCCGATGCACATGCAAATGGGCCTGGGGCCGTCTAAAAAGGGATCCACTGTGGCCGCTTCGATGAAGGTCACGCTCGACAGGCTGCGTGAGGCACGACAAGCGGCTGTGGACAATTCGGCCAGCCGACAAGCAGATAACGAACGCTTACAAAAGCATCAGGGTTCTGGGCTGCCATGAGTGAAAGGGGAGAAGGCGTGGCTACATTGTTCCCAGGTGCCCATTGGGACGTCCCCAAAATTACATCGCCCTTGGCAGGACCCTGTTGAGGTCGTGGAGGTCCGCCGGCCACAGTGTGTGCTCATCCGCTTCAGTCGCCGGCATTGATTTGTCCACCCGTCTAGGTTAAAAAGATACGTGTTACCTTGTCCTGTTGAATCATCCCCACTTCCGGAGCGGCCGGTGCTTGATGCGTCTGACGAGCCGGGCCGCCCTAGCCGGGATGCTATGCAGTGTAAGCCCTCTGTCTGTCCACCCACAGAACCCCTCCGAGTAGCTCCCGAGGCACCGCCTGTTGGCCCCTCGGTGGTGAGGCCGACGTCGACGGGTACTCTGCCTACTCTGACACCGGACGCTGCCTGGGGGAGTGGACCGGCTGCACATACGCGCTCCAGGGGCACTCCTTTTCGCTTACCACCTCCCCTTGGGCACGTTGTCGTCGGACACCAGCCGACGCTGACGCGTGGTTGGCGCCTTGCACTGCAGGCTGAAGGCCTTCCTACACTTGCCCTCCTGCCTTATCATCTTGTTCACCCGCAGTTGGCTCTGCCTTCCCACCTCCATTTACGACGTTATTGTTGATGTTGTAGTTACAATTGTTCTGATTGTTGGTTGCTGGCTTTACGCAATGGCCCCGATGCGGGGCAAATTTAGTATAATTAGCAGCCGGGACGGCTGTCATGTCATGGGTGCTGTAAGGGGATACCTTCGGGAATAGGGGCGGGTACAAGTGAAGGGGAGGAGCCACCCAAGGGGTACTTAAGGGTAACCCCGTGACGAAGGCGGGGTCGTTGTGGGAGCCCGGAGTGTGGATCGGCTGCAGGAGGTCTCTCCCGCTCATGACCGGACAGTGTTGGCTGAACCCCCGTCCGGGGTCGACGAGTGGAAGAGCCGAAGAGATAGCGGAGTGTAGGGCTCCAATAAGTCTGTGAGAATTGGCTGAGAGTGAGTGGGGTTCTTCTTTCCTCGGCCGGGCAGTGTTGGATGAACCCCCGTCCCGGCCCGAGTGAGAGAGTCAAAGGGATAGCCGAGGTTAGGACGAGGAGAGCTCGGGGTTCTATGGGAAGGACCGAGTATAGAGAACACCTACCCCTGGTGTGAGCCTGAGTCTTTAAACAGTGTTAATAAATGGCGAAAGCCCTTACAAGAAGTTCCGTCTCCGCGTGGTTCTATGACACAACGCATTTATTTGTATAGGAGAGCGGTGGAGCAGCGGTTAGTGCGACACGTTGCAAACCTGGCGACCCGAGTTCAGTTCCCGCTCACGAGCAATATCAGTGGCGAATATCTGAACTGGTCCTGGGCCACCCCATAGGTCGACTCATAGACTTAAACGAGTACCCAGTGCTGTGTGTAAAAACATCAGCAACGGGGAAACAAAGGCGGTCAGGGCGGCCATGGCCTTGGCCATTCACGCCCACGTGTGTGTGCCGAGCCAACCTTCCCCGGGGGATCCCTTGTGATGTAGACATGCATGTGGGTGGGTGGCCGACCCTGCTGGTGGCATAGACGGCGTCGTAGAGGCCGAGCAGCGTCACCGCCACGCCGACCGCCGGGCCGTTCACCACCGCCACCAGTGGCTTGGGGAATTCGATGAAGGACGACACAAACCTACTGCTCGCGCAGAGGTGAACAGCCATCGTTACCAACGCAAACCAAATGCCCCCATCACCGTCATCCGTCGCTAGCCACCCCCCCCCCCCCCGCCGTCACCATCATCCATCACCCATCATCATCGCCAATCACCAGCATCTATCCTCACTGCTGCCCTTTACCACCGATAACTACCACCACTGTAGTGCATAAACAGCACTGACCATCATCGTCACTACTCGTCACCCGCCACCACCACCAATCACGACCTCCGCCACCCATCACCACCACCGCCACCACCGCCACCACTGCCACTCACCACCATTGTCCATCACCACTGGCATTTATCAATCACCATCCGCACCCAACAACGGCACCACCTTTGACCACCACTGCCACCCCCTCACCCACGTCCCCCTGGCTCACCGCAACAGCTCGGCGGCGTCGAGCGCCATCTGCTTGATGCCGCCTGGCGGCATGTTGGTGAAGTTGCTGAGGTCGTTGCCGCTGCAGAAGTAATCGCCGGCGCCTGGGGCAAGAGGTGCATGCGTGTAGGTGAACACACACACGTGCGCGTACGTGCTCGCTCCCACTCTCGCCGGTGCTCACACATACACACTGGTGCAGGTGCACACACGGCTACAGTGTTTCATTCACGGTGCTATGAGTCTGGTAACCCAAGAGCAACTCCCAGCCATGGCTATCCGACCCCTCCCCACCCCTTCACTAAGCCACACTGACCAGCATGAAGTACGATCAGACAAACCCCGTGCCCTCATTGCAGTGGATTGCAAAAAGGGCTGCAAACTAATGATGATGTAGAACATTGGAACAAGCATATCTATATGTAGATGCGATGGCGTATGGGGAATCTCGCCTGTGATAACGGCAAACGCAGACTCGTCTTTCCCAGCCTCCTCCAACGCCTTCATGATCTCTTTGTACATCTGGGAGGCAACACGGGTACTCAAGGACCATTGCAACACATTGCACCTCTCATGCGTCGGCACTTGCAAACCCGACATCCTCCGTGACCGATGGTATGCACGTCTCAAGTCAGATGGTGGCAGGAGTTCCCAGTGAGCTACTGGACCATTCTTTCAACGGCGAGTCAGCCGGGAGATAGCGGTGGCAACAAAGCGCCGCAGTGGCGATATGTTAACTACCTCGCTTGGTATGCAGGAGGTCGTGGGTTCGATCCCAAACCTGACGCCTGCTGTATATTTGGAGTTTGCGTGTTCTCTCTCCCCGTGGTGGCGTGGATTTTTATCCTGGCTCTCTGGTTTTTCCCCTCCACATTTAGAATCAACGTGCGTATATAGTATTTGGCTGCTGTAAATTTCCACACAATATGCCACTAAGTTAAGCTGTAATTTGTGGTCAGGTCGCTTCTGAAAAAGAGCTATATAGCTCAGTGGGCCTGATCTGGTAAAATAGAAACATTGTTTAGTTTAGAGTTGGGTTTGCAGGCGTCACCGTGGTGTTGATGGCGTTCTTCTTGTCGGGCCGGTTCAGCGTGATCACCGTCATGTTGTTCTCACGCTTCAGCTGCAGGGTCTGGTAAGCTGTGGCGCCGGCCTCCGTCGACGGAGCAGCAGGAGCCTCGGCCGCCACCAGCGAGTCGATGAGCTGCACGTACTTCAGCCGAGCCTCCTCCTGCCGGGGTTCAACGGTCGGGGTGAGGGGGTGGTGGTGGTGATGTCATCACGAGCAATAGTGACTAGAGAGACGGCTCATGCGGTCAGTCGCTGGGGATCAAACCGAGCTGAGACCTCAATCTGTAAACTAAAACTAAACTATTTTTATATGACCAGGTAAGGCCCACTGAGCTGTTAGCTTCATTTTTTTAGAAGCGACCTAGCCACAAATAATATCTCAACGAAGTGGATTAGCGTGTGGAAATTTATTGCAGCCATGCAAACTGCAAATATACAGGTGTCAGGGTTCGGGATCAAACCCACGACCTCCTGTATACCAGGCGAGGTAGTTAACATCTCACCACCGTGGCGTCCTCTAACCCAGGATCTCAACATACATACAAAGGTGGTTGGGTGGTTCATGGGGTTAATCGTTGAAGACCAAATCGGGTTGAGACACCTCAATCCGTATTGCAACAACTGGTGAGATGCGGTAGCGCTGGCCATGACGATCTCTGGACCTTGACCTGGCATTGAGGTTGCCATGTGCGACTCGCCGTACTCCCCACCAATAAAGTTAAAGTGAGAGGTGGTCCGGGTGGGCTAACGGGGCTCATAATGGCCAGGTCAGAGATGGTGAACGGGCAACGGCTGAGATCTTGGGTTAGAGTGAAGAATTTAGCCCTCCTCGACGTAGCTGGGTCTCCTCAAATGTAGAGAGCCGATGGTCTCAGCCCATTTACCAATTGACCACGCGCAAAAAAATACGTCGCGTGATGGCTCAATCCAGCTCTGAGAATATCCATTTGATTGCCATGCTGCGAACATGTCCACAACAAAGCTGTCAGAATCTGAGAGTTTGTTTACCATACAAGAACTCAAATACAAGGTCAACCTGGTGAAGATGGCCTTAAAATGGAAAGATAACACGAGCACATGCGCTCTAAATGTTGGGATAATAATGATTGTATGTTTGAAATAGCTGCCCTTCTTTACGCCGGGGCAACTCAGAACTTGCATCATCTCGAAAATTTTGATAGGGCACCCTCAGTGGAAACTATCTCTGTGCAGCACCTGGCCTGCAAGTGGGTATTTGTCTGCCAGTAGGGGGCAATGATTGCTGCGCGTTATCCGTAACCCCAATTGAGTAATTTTCGGGTATTTTTCGAATTGGCAAATTTGGACCGTGATGCCAGCACACAATGGCCCACACTCTGAGCAAATGACACCAGGGGATCTTTAACGTCGACCTCGAAGCAGACAAGGGCGTATCTTTACGGTTAACACAACGGCGGTAATGACCAGGGTGGCCTGCCGGCATTTGAACCGGCGAACCTCCTGGGCCGCGTCACCGCCCCGTAGCCTCCCGGAAGCGACATGCGGCGGTTACCTTGCTGAGGGGTCCCAGGTTCTTCCACGCCTCCCACTTCATTTTGTTGACAAAGTCCAGCATTCCGGGCTTGGGGGTGTTGCAAGACCCCTGCGTGGACTGAACGGACACAGCAGGGCACATCAAGACCCACCGCCAACGCTCAACCACAGCGCCAAACCGACGGCTCAAAATAGAAATCGCCACCGACGCCGCTTCTACACCTCCCCCCGCACCCAAAAATAACATTTGGCGGCTGGCTCAGACTGCCTCCAACGCCATGGAAATTCCATCCGGACCCAGCAGGGGGAAAACGTCCTGATAACGATTTCTGTCAGCAAGTGGCGCTGCAGATAGCAGGTTATGGGGAGGCCGGCGGAAAACTACTGACCGCTTCCGTCAAAATGCCGCCTTGCAGCAGGAAACAAAGACAAATATTCCCCCTATAGCCTCAACAGACTGTTGGGGCAAGTGCTGTTAGCGAGCACCTATGATGGCCGGCACGGCACACGAACAGGTGGGTGGCCAGCACCATGCCCAGCCGCCTTTGTCTCCCCAGTGGTGATGTTTACACATTGCACCAGGTACTCATTTAGGCTGAGTCGACCTACGGGAGGCCCAGGACCAGTTCAGGTAATCGTCACTGGTGTTGGCCATGAGCGGGAATCGAACCTGTGTCGCTAGGTTCATAGCGCAGCGCGCTTACCGCTACACTACCGCTCTCCACCCACAGCAGGATACACACACGCACACACACACGCGCACGTAAGTACGGTGCTTTTATAAAATATCTAATTATGAGAGGGGGGTGGGGCTGAGCCTTCGGTACGGGGGGCTTGGGCCCCCCCTCCAACCTCCTCCCACGGCACTGCTGCACCTGTACTCATGTCCATCTCTCTTGTTCTATATCGCTATTCATGTCACAGTCGACCCCTCCTTCTCTCCGCGTCCGTCTCTAAGAGGCCGTCTTCTCTGCACACCTCTTACTTTCCGTACAAGGGTGTTTCCCCTCTGGCCGGCCGCTGTTTACCTCGGTGTGTGGTGGTGGTGATTGGGGTTGGGGTTGTGGTGATTGTGAACCCAGCAACCCGACTTCGATTCCCGCTCACGCTAATACCAGTGACGGTTATCTGGACCGGTCCTGGGACTTCCCTAGGTCGACTCGGCCTTAAATGAGTACCCGTTGCAGTGTAAAAACATCGCCACTGGGCAGACAAAGGTGGTCGGGCGTGGTGCTGGCTACTCACCCCCTCGTGTGCCATGCCGGCCTTCATAGGTGCTATTTGCTAACAGCAGTTGCTCCAACAACCTGTTAAGGCTATACGGAGGATTTTTGTCTTTGGTGGAAGTGGTGGTGGTGATTGGGGTTGGGGAGGTAATGGTGGGGGGTGGTGGTGATTGGGGTTGTGGTGGTGGCAGTGGTATGGGGGTGGTAGTTGGTGGGGGTGCGGGTACCACCTGCTTGAAGAGTGCGTAGATCTGGAGTTTTGCCTCATTTCCTGGGTCCGACGTCAGCTGTCCCAGCCGCTGCTTCGCCGCCTCAAACTCGGCCTCACTCGCCACGGGACGCATGGCCACGGTGGAGCTGCCGAGGCTGGCACGAGGATCGTCTCTCCACGGCACTGTCCTGCACGGCGGTGACGACGACGACGCGGAGGATGAGCACGTGATCAAGACGATGCGACATCTCACCGCTCCGCGCTCCCGAGTGTGATCTCTCGAGTAAAAAAAAATACTATTTTTATTTTTAGCAGGTAAGGCCTACTGAACTATGCAGCTCTTTTTCAGGAGTGACCTGGCTACAAAGGATAGCCCAACGAAGTGGCTTATCAAGTGGAAATTTATAGCGGCCAAATACTCTAAACGCATGATGTTGATTCTAAATGTGGAGGGGAAACACCAGAGGACCCGGAGAAAAATCAACACGACCACGGAGAGAACAGGCAAACTCCATTTATATAGGCATCAGGGTAAGGATCAAACCTACGACCTCCTGTATACCTGGCGAAGGAGTTAACTCGCCGCCGCAAGCGTAGAATGCGCAACGCGGCACAGCTTATACTCGCGCTCGGAGCAAGAATGATTCACAGGCATGGAAAACCACGGATGAGTCGCAACGCAGCCAAAACCAATGCCAATAATTGGCCAAGCTCTCTGGTTCTATGTCGGGATGTTTGGCCAACTCCATATGGGACATCTTCAGACTCCCAATTAAATCACGACTCATACCTAAAACCCACGCAACTACCGCAGGCATCTCTCAACTCCCAACAACTTCTGAAGATGGCCGCAGTAGTGCGTGGCGAAAGCCCGAGAGAAGATATACTCAGCAAGAAATACCACACTCGGATCATCAGTGGCAGCGAAAACCTACACGTTGAATCCTCCGGAGGGACAATGCCACCGACGCCACCGAGAGGTATGGCTGGCGTTTATGCTGTGAACTCTGTACCACATTGCCAATCATCACTGATCAGTGGTAACGGTGGAGTGGGTGAATGATTTACCTGCTGTTGTTTTTTTCTCCCGGTGCAGAACTGAACTCTAAAAGGGACGCGAGTCTGGATCGCCAAGCTCATCCCTTAAACAGGAACGACTCTGTAGGAGTCCTTGGTGCCATCGTCTTTCCACCGTGATATGCGAACCAGGAGCTCGTCCTTGTGCTAATTTTGGCTCTTTAGTTAAAAGAGAAACGACGGATAAACACCTGGTGTGCTGTGCTGGACTATGCCCCAAATGTCTATGCCCCCGACTCCACCAACTAGCACTGACCAATACGGTGAAGTATGGCCAAATAACCTTGACGACCCACGCGGCTTTGGGAGGCCCTCACCCAACAGTTTATTGACAAAAAAGGGGATGTCTGTACATGTGCACCGCAATGAAGATCATGACAATGTCGACAGCAGTGTGATGATGATGAGTGTTTGAAAACTATTGTAATGCTGTCACTGTCCGCCAAATAGGTTCGAGAGAGTAACCAGGCAGGCCGTAGCCAGCTGGCAATCCTATTTTGAGTTTGAGTGGCAGCAGTGTGTCTGTACTTTGAACTTCTTTCGCACCGTATGTAGCCAAATGTGCCAATCAGAGGTGCAGGGGGAAGGACAACAAACTAAATACAAAAATAAGTTATCATGCAATGAGTTTTCAATCAAAATAATAAAAGTGCATAGCTCCAGTGGCTTCCTAATATCGGAAGAGCGTTTCCAGATGGCCACAGAAGAGCATCTGAAAGCGCACAATGTTGCGCTGTCTCTGTTCAATGGCCAGCCAAAATCCGCTGCTGTGTGGATGAACCGGAGTTCGTGTGGTGATTTATATGCTCCTTGACGAGATCAGCAAGGTATTGTGGTTCATTTGTGGCAAGAGCTTTAAAAGTGGCGACGCTGATTCCATTAAAAGTTGCTACTCACTCTCCCGTCCAGGTCACGCCTTCTCGTGAGACCCGACTCCTACCGACGAGACAGCGTGTCGAATCCAGTCCAGAGTTTGCGCGTGTTTGAACCAATGCCACTTGAAATTATGGGCTCCAAGATGGCCGCATGGCAAGCTTAGCTGATGGAATGTGTAAAAGAAAAATGCCCAAGTGAGATTATATATACATAGCTGTGCAGTGCACTTATGCAACTCGCAAACAACTACACCACCCCCCACCCGCCTATCTCTCTGGTGGTGACTTTGGCTGAGGTTGTGGTAACGCTGGGTGAAGGTCAACGGGTGTGTGGATTTCTTGGGCTTCACAGCCAAATGTCCAATCGCCTGCAAGAAAGCAGTTTAAACCCCAGGACCCATCCACCGACTTGTTGACCTGTGATGGTTCTAGACTACCGTGTGTGGTTAAGATGTTAGGGTTCTCTTCTTCTTTCGTTTGACTGATGTACTATTTTTTTTTATCAGAGAAGGCCCACTGACCTAAACAACTCTTTGTCAGAAGCGACCTTGCCACAAATGATAGCTCAACGAAGTGGCTTGTCATGTGGAAATGTATAGCAGCTAAATACTCTAGCGCATGTTTCTAAATGGGGAGGGAAAAACCGGAGGACCTAGACAAAAATCCACGTGACCATGGGGAGAACGTGCAAACTTCAAATATAAAGGTGTCAGGGTCGGGATCGAACCCACGACCACCTGTCTACCAGGAGAGGGAAATAACATCTCACCACCGCGGTGTCCTTGTTGCGCCGCATGTAGATGCATGTAGATGCGGAGCAACAACTGCAACTTCACATTTAGGTGGTCAAGCCAGACAACCGCGTCAGGAGCAGTGGAGTGCGTCGCCGTGATGTTTCCTTCGTATTTGTGGATCGAGCGTTGGATGTGAGGGTTAGGGCTGTGTGTCGAGCCCACTGGTGCAGCCTCCTCCACCTCCCCATCCTCATCTCTCCTGACCCCGTGCTCCTGCTTCTCCAATCCGTTTCCACCCTCCCATTTTCTTCTCCCTTCCCCCACCCATTCCCATGTTTTCCATTCACTATACAGGATCCTTGTGACTCTTACTTCCCTTTCCTGTGGGGCGGGTGTCATGGGTAAAACGTTGCTCGTGTCCGTGAAATATTGTGGGCGCTATGACTCGCATTATTATTCTTATTGCAGCATTAGCATGTACCTAAAACAGCTATTGAAGATGGCCCGGGATCAAATAGGTGGGTGGATGTGTGGGAGTCGGAGTGCTCTTGGCAATGTAACTCTGTACACCTCTACCTAACTCCATGGCACTCTACATAATTCTTTGTGTCTTTCGGTAAAGTCACGTACAGCGAGGGAAAAAAGTATTTGATCCCCTGCTGATTTTGTACGTTTGCCCACTGACAAAGAAATGATCAGTCTATAATGTTAATGGTAGGTTTATTTGAACAGTGAGAGACAGAATAACAACAAAATCCAGAAAAACGCATGTCAAAAATGTTATAAATTGATTGGCATTTTAATGAGGGAAATAAGTATTTGACCCCTTTGCAAAACATGACTTAGTACTTGTTGGCAAAACCCTTGTTGGCAATCACAGAGGTTAGACGTTTCTTGTAGTTGGCCACCAGGTTTGCACACATCTCAGGAGGCATTTTGTCCCACTCCTCTTTGCAGATCTTCTCCAAGTCATTAAGGTTTCGAGGCTGACATTTGGCAACTGGAACCTTCAGCTCCCTCTACAGATTTTCTATGGGATTAAGGTCTGGAGACAGGCTAGGCCACTCCAGGACCTTAATGTGCTTCTTCTTGAGCCACTCATTTGTTGCCTTGGCCGTGTGTTTTGGGTCATTGTCATGCTGGAATACCCATCCATGACCTATTTTCAATGCCCTGGCTGAGGGAAGGAGGTTCTCACCCAAGATTTGACGGTACATAGCCCCGTCCATCGTCCCTTTGATGCGGTGAAATTGTCCTGTCCCCTTAGCAGAAAAACACCCCAAAAGTATGTTTCCACCTCCATGTTTAACGGTGGGGACGGTGTTCTTGGGGTCATAGGCAGCATTCCTCCTCCTCCAAACACGGCGAGTTGAGTTGATGCCAAAGAGCTCCATTTTGGTCTCATCTGACCACAACACTTTCACCCAGTTGTCCTCTGAATCATTCAGATGTTCATTGGCAAACTTCAGACGGGCATGTATATGTGCTTTATTGAGCAGGGGGGCCTTGCGGGCACTGCAGGATTTCAGTCCTTCACGGCGTAGTGTGTTACCAACTGTTTTCTTGGTGACTATGGTCCCAGCTGCCTTGAGATCATTGACAAGATCCTCCCGTTTAGTTCTGGGCTGATTCCTCACCGTTCTCATGATCATTGCAACTCCACGAGGTGAGATCTTGCATGGAACCCCAGGCCGAGGGAGATGACAGTTCTTTTGTGTTTCTTCCATTTGCAAATAATCACACCAACTGTTGTCACCTTTTCACCAAGCTGCTTGGCGATGGTCTTGTAGCCCATTCCAGCCTTGTGTAGATCTACAATCTTGTCCTTGACATCCTTGGAGAGCTCTTTGGTCTTGGCCATGGTGGAGAGTTTGGAATCTGATTGATTGCTTCTGTGAATAGGTGTCTTTTATACAGGTAACAAGCTGAGATTAGGAGCACTCCCTTTAAGAGTGTGCTCTTAATCTCGGCTCGTTACCTGTAAAAAAGACACCTGGGAGCCAGAAATCTTTCTGATTGAGAGGGGGTCAAATACTTATTTCCCTCATTAAAATGCCAATCAATTTATAACATTTTTGACATGCGTTTTTCTGGATTTTGTTGTTGTTATTCTGTCTCTCACTGTTCAAATAAACATACCATTAAAATTATAGACTGATCATTTCTTTGTCAGTGGGCAAACGTACAAAATCAGCAGGGGATCAAATACTTTTTCCCTCACTGTAGATACGTTCAAAAAATAATAAAATAAAACTACGACGTTTCGATCGCAACACAAGCGAGTGTCATCAGGTGGAATAAGTAATATTTAAAAATAATATTTTAAAAACACGCTTTCATGAAATGTACCCTACTCGTAATGGCAGAACTCCACGACTCCAGGAAGTGGCCCCGGAGCTTGCCACGACATAAGGGGCCGTGGTGATTTACAGCCAACGTCAGTTGAGCGTGAACAATTAGACCCAAGCCGAAACATAACATGTAAAAAATAGTTTAAAAAATAGTTTAAAAAAAAGTTTTGTTATTTTTTGATGATAGAATATAGTATTGTCATCGGTATGACATAAGTATACCACGTTTGTAGTCGATACCACATTGGGAAGTGGGTAAAAATTGAGTTACGAGATTTGAGGATACAACAGAGTTAATAAAAAGCGTGTAATAAAAATGGGGGGAAGCTACCAAAGGCGATACGTTTTAAAGGTTGAAAATGGGCGTAGCCCAAGCGTCATGATGCCAGAACGAAGTGGGAGGGGCACAAGTGCCCTCAGTCCAGCACAAGCGGAGAGGGTTACGTTAATGCGAAATCGGAGAATCAAGAGAAAGACGCGAACAACTTGTGGTATGCACAATGCAGGGGCGACACCGCAGGAACTGCAATTGCTGGTCCCATCTTTAGTAAAATAAAACTAACATCGGAAGGTGCCAAGATGGAAACTTCACAGCTAGTTATGACTTAAACTTGTTAATGACGTCCTTCCAACGATTGCTGAGTTGTGAACCCATCCTCGCGGTTGAACTCTGACGAGCGTTTCCGAAACGTCTCGGCCCGCAGCCGCCAAATCGCCGTCACCGACCTGAACGAAGCGCGGTGCAGCAGCCCGCCCAGCTGAGCTCCAGCCGCCATGGCAAAGTGACGTCAGACCCGCGAGATGACGTCATGTAACCACCGCGACCGCGTTGGTTACATGACGTCACGTAACCATGGCCGCGTGGGTTACACGCCGGCACGTCACCACCGCGGCCGCGTATAAGTAGGTTACATGCGGTCACGCGCGAGGATGTAAGTGTGACGTCATGCAACGGGGGCGGGGGGGTGCGGTGACGTCATGAGTAGGTACGAGAGCTCAGAATCGGAAAATGTATTACCACTGCAGGAATCCGATGAGCTGTGAAGATCTTTTTTTCACAGATGTGGGTCAGTGTTTATAACCGAATAAAAAAGACCAGCTTTTAATATAATGTGTAAAGTTGAATTCGCATCAGGCACCAGGGTATACATAATTGCTGTCTCCAACTCTTATGGTCTCCCTATTTGTGCTATGAAGAAGGGCCATTGCCTGAAACGTCGCCTCTTGCATAGTTTTCCTTTGAAGGCCATAAAGTGTTATTGATTCTGATTCTATCGACGAGCGTATTTAACACCTTGTGCTGTGACGTCATGTCGCCGATAGGGGTTGACACAAATCTGTAGGTATGTGACGTCACGCTTTTTTGACACTTTATTTTACCTGAAGACGATTGTTTGTGTTGCGATCGGAACGTTACCATTCTATCTACGTGGCTTTACCGAAAGACCCAAGCAATATTAATACAATACGGTAAATGTATTTTTTTACAGGAGCATTGTTCAACACCATTTAAATTCAATTATTGCTTAAAAAAAGAGAGTTATTAAGCTTCCTGGTGATGCTGTTGCGTTGGCAGCGGTGTGCAAACAACGAAGGAAGACATTCTACAAGGACACTGGCGTTAGTGGGGGAATTTTTTTTTAACTGTAATAGTCTATAAGATAGGAAGTAAACGAAATTTCATAAATAGGAATGGCTTTTTCCATTAATTTAATACCAAAAAAATTGCATTCGTGTACTCCTAACCTAAAAAAGTACACCTATATCACTTGTCAGAATAATAATAAAGAACTTAAATATTAAAGCGATTTCATAATAATTAATTTAAAACAAGTACTGTATTAACCTCATCAGGGAGCTCACCATGAGATGTGCCGCGTGTTGAAATGACTGGCAAGGCGATGTGGGACGCGTTCGTGTTGCCACTTGCAGGGATTCCGTGACGCTGCCGGCGATCAGAATCAGAATCACTATTTAGTCTGCAGGAGGAAATCTGAAGAGCTATGAAGTTCTTTCTCACAGATGTCCGGTAGCGGATCGATGACGATGCAATCTCCCGGGTGGCTTCTCGTCTGACGATCTCGTGGCGAGCGCGTGGCATTTTCGTCGACGGTGGAAAATGTTGTCCGGAAATTTTGGTCAAATAATTTCACGAGAAATTTCGTAAAACCACACTGGCTCACAGATACACACCGGCACACAGATCGGCACACAGATACACTGACACACAGATACAACACTGGCACACGCAGGCATACAAATACACATTTACTAATGTACACACAATGTCCAACGTGTCTAATCAGTACTAAACTCACCACGCAGTTCACCAGCACCCAGGACAAAACTCACCACGCAGTTCACCAGCACCCAGGACAAAACCCACTACACAACTCACCAGCACCCAGTACTAAACTCACCACGCAAATCACCAGCACCCAGTACTAAACTCACCACGTAGTTCACCAGTTTCCGATCGAGATCATAAGCTACGCGTGTGCGTGTGTGTATATTTTACAGAGTTTTATTCAACACACGACACGATACCTTACGACTGTCACCGTGAGCACGCACACGGTTGGCACGACGCTGAACCAAACAGAGTCTCTCCCGTTAGATCGGATTGCCAGCTTGTTTATGGATTATTGTTGTTTTATTTTTCAGTAGCATTCAGCAATAGTCACGCCAACTTGTAGCGCGCTCTAGGCCTCGGCAAGGTAAGGTCATTTACCCTTCTTACCGGGTAAAAGGGTAAAGGTAAAGAGGGTAAAGGTGTCGACATGCCAAGGGGTAAGGTAAAGGGTAGGGTAAAGGTAGCTCGGAAGAATTACCCGGTAGGGTAAAGGTAGGCTCGTTGCTTTTTACCTTTTACCTTACCTGCTAAAGGGTAAAAGGTAGGGTAGAGTGATTGTATTGTGGTAAGGTAAAAGGTAAGGTAAAGGTAGGCTCTCCTCGAGAGAGGACGACTCAGGGACGCGAGATGGAGGAACCGCAGATGAGCGGGGGAAGGCAGCAGCAGCCGCCACGCGATGAGCTGGGGCTACCAACAATTGCCCGCCCCTCCCCAAGCTCTGCATCCCTCTATATATTAAGGGCGCCACGGTAACGAAATGTTAACTACCTCGCCTGGCATGCAGGAGTCGTGGGTTCGATCCCGACCCTGAAGCCTGTATATTTGGAGTTTGTGTTTCTCTCTCTTTCCCTGTGGTCACGTGGATTTTTCTCCGGGTTCTTCCGATTTTCCCTTCCACATTTTGAAACATGCGTTTCGAGTATTTAGCTGCTATACATTTCCACGTGATGATCAGCACTTCGTTGAGCTATTATTTTTGGCCAGGTTGCTTCTGAAAAAGAACTGTTATAGCTCAGTGGGCCTTACCTGATAGCATTAAAATAGTAAATAGCAGTAAGGTGTTATCGGCCAATGAATTGGTTTTCATAACCGAGGGAGGAAACCAAAGCACCCAGAGAAAACCCACGTGTGCGTGGGAGGGGGCAACGCTCTATCCCGTACAGACGGAACAGATGGAGTCCACAGTTTAGCTCTACCGCCTTTTCCAGGCAAACCCACGGAATGGCTCCCTCCTCGACGCCCACGGGAAGGGAGTTTCACAACATCTGTGCGGTGATCCACCAACTCCCGCTGCTGCCTCCACAGTGCTGGATTACAGGCAACCGTGCATCGCCACGGCTGCCCGGTCATATAGAGGAGTGCTGGCGCAGTGGTTGGCGCACTGCACTTACCGGCCAGGCCACGTGCGTTCCATTGCTGCCGACCACGGCATTCGTCACCAACGCCCATTGCCCAGAGTGGTGAAGTATGGTCAAACAACTCGCACGACCCAAACGGCGTGGGGTGGCCTTCATCCAGCAGTGGATGGAAAAGGGCATAGACGTATTTATGTACTGTATCTATGGACAGAGTGCACCCACCTTAGAAACCAAAACGGACTGACTTTACGCTGGCGCAAGTGCAATTAGCGAGCACCTATTAAGGCCGTCACGGCGCGCGGCGGCGTGATGTGGCCTATAGCCCCGTACCACACCCGACCACCTTTGTCCGAACAGTGCCGATCTGTACACACAGCTCCACGTGCTAATTTAAGGCTGAGTCGACCTAGGGATCTCGACGACAAAGTTGAAGGCCGTCCAAACTCGTGCCATCACGGCCCCCCTCCCCTGAGCCAACCTTGCACCTCCGATTAGCACGGTTGGCTACGTACGGTGCGAACGAAGTTCATCATACGGTCCGTGCATAGTGGGGCTGGAGGTTACTTATGACCTAAACACTAATCTCATGTCAAACCCGAACACATGCAGCTCAGGTTCAACCCCCTATCCTAACCCCTACCCGAACCTTCACCCTAACCCGTACCCTAACCCCTGTCCTAACCTTTACCCTAACACCTCCCATAACACCGGCTCAACTCCCAATGCGAGAGAGAGTTCCATCACAACAATGCGCGCTACGCACTCGGTCCAGGGCTCGGCAACCTCCGGCTCCGGAGCCGCGTGCGGCTCTTCAAGGACTGATGCTTCGTGGCATCATTCACATCGCATTGCGGCTCTTCAAATATTGATGGGGGTTTTTTTTTACCGAATTCGAAAAGCAATGTCTCTGCTTGTTATTTTACTTGCAGACCCCTGCGCCAAGCACAATCCACGAGGCAATGTGCACTGGTGACTGTGCACTAGTTACTATGTACTAGTCAATGTGCACTACGTACACGTCACCGTGCACTATTAGTCGTTATGTACGAGTGAGTGTGCACGAAGTACTAGCCACTATGTACCAGTTGCTATTTACTAGTCAGTGCGCACGAATGTACTTGTCACTATGTACCAGTTGCTATTTACTAGTCACTGTGCACAAAGTACTGGTCACTGTGCACCGGGCACCGTGGTGGCTGGCGCTGCGCACTAGGAGCGCGTCATGATGAAGAATACGAGCGGGTCGAGGCACGTGCTGAGCGCCGTCACCTGCAGGCACATCTCGTTGAGCATGTACCACCGATGCCTCCCATCGCAGCCCGCTCCCGACGCGTCCGCCTGCGCCGCCACGTAGGGCAGTCGCGTGGCGTGGTAGGGCCCGTAACACACCACGAACGCGGCGAACATCCACAGCAGCTTGAGCAGCGCCCTCATCTCCACGCTCGCCGCCCCGGGCGTCCCCGGCCGGCGTCCCCCGGCGCCGCGCCGCAGACGCCGGCCCAGGAGGCAGAAGCCGACGACGAACGCGACGCACGCGATGGCGTAGAGCGCGGTGAGTGCCACGTTCACCCGCAGGACGTAGGGCTCCTCGACTCGACCGCTGTACTCGAAGCAGACGGACTCCTTCCTGGCCGCATCCCTCGTCGTGTTGGTGCCGATGATCTCGAGGTACACCGGGGTGGCGAGCGCCAGGCTGAACACCCAGGCCAGGGCGCACACGGGCAGCGTGTAGGCGCGCAGCACCGCGCGCGCCACGTTTCCGCCGCCGCCGCCCCCCGCGCCAGAATCGCCGTGCCGTCGCCACAGCTGCACGAAGCGGTAGACGCAGAGGCAGACGAAGAGGAGCACGGAGACGTACATGTGCACGTAGAGGAGCGCCGACACGGCCGAGCAGAAGCCCGCGCCGAACGGCCACGAGCGTTCGCGCGCATAGTGGACGATGCGAAAGGGCAGGCTGAGCAGCAGCACGGCATGCGCGGCCATCAGGTTGAGGCCGAATACGGCCGGAGCGCTCTTGAGGTCGCGGGACGCGGGCCCCAGCACTCGCCAGCACGCCAGGCCGTTCCCCACCACGCCCAGCACCAGCAGGGTGCTGTAGAAACCGATCATCCCCTCATTGGAGCCCTGCGGGAGGAATTTGCAGTGCTCCGGTGGCATGCTCGCTGCCCGCTCCCCTTTGCTCCGTCATGCAGAGGATTCGGTGTCCGGTTTGTTTCGAAAGACTCAGCAGCAGCGCGCTCCGCTGATGGCCGGTTCGATGACGGCCGTTGTCCACCTGGACACGCGGAGCAGGAGGCAAGGTTCCACGGAGACTCGCGAGATGGGACGAATTTTGTTTTGAGATGGAGTTGGAGGTCAAGCAGTGACCTTAGCCTGGAGGGAGCTGCATCTTTTGGGCAAGGGACCTTCCCTTCCTAGTCCCTCGTCAGAGCACAGATGGCTGCCACCTGCAGTCACAACACCAACGCACGACCAGCGATAGTTAATTTTCGCGCGTGGGATTTTATTCTCGATGGGTGGAGCGGTGGCGCAGTGGATTGCACATTGAACCCCTAGCTATCCTGGGATCAATTCCCGGCCACGGTTGCCACCAGTGGCGAGTGGTCCAATCGACAGAGGGGCGGCGACCCGTCCATACAGCGAACTAGGCAGTCGCCTAGGGCGCCAAGTTAAGTTTGGGCGCCAAATTTGAGGGGGAAAAATACAAAAAAATTACGAAGATGTCAGTATTTTAATTCCCGTGCGCGTACGGAGGGAATATGAATTTTCATGAATTTCTCAATATTCCTGAGAATCTATCGGTTGGACAGATGGACGGACGGGACCAAACGAATCATTATTCCTCTGTTTAAAAAAAATCTGCTTACAAAACATTACACGGAAAATATGGGCCTAAATGTCTCGCAGTTTAGCAAAAAAAACCTCAGCCTGGAGTTGCCTTTGGGATTTGGGGCGCCGATTTCGCGACGTCCCCAGGTCGCCAGTCGCTGGCACCGAGGGTAGGGCCGCCTATTGCTGGGCCCCACACCTCCCCACCACCTTCACCCACCTGCATTGACCAGTGTGGTGAAGTATGTCATCAAACAACCTTCGTGAAGCAGTGAACTGAGAACGGCTACAATTATTATTCGTATTTTCATTGCGTAATGTAATTTCCAAAGGTAAAATGCAGCATTTAAACGGTCTTGACATCCAGACATAACATCACTTTTGAAACACGCGGCTATGGTTTGGCCATCTCAGGCTGCTACCGACCAGTGGAACACCCGGTTCGAGTTCAGGGCCTGCGTCGGCGATGATGGAGCTTTCTCGCGCACACCCTGACCGGGGAAAGATCTCGGTGCGGCGGGTTCTTGGAACACAGCGCCGCAAACGGCTGCGCCACCGCTGTCCGCGCACACGCAGAAGAAGTGTAACGCAGGGTGAGGTAAGCAAGAGAGAGAGAGAGAGTCAAGGAGAGAGTCAAAGAGTCGCACAGAGAGTCAGAAGAGAGTCAGAGAGTCGAACAGCAAGCAACTCAAAGCGAGAGTCAAGGAGAGAGGCAAAGAGTCGCACAGAGAGTCAGAAGAGAGTCAACGAGAGCGTCAAAGAGAGGGTCAAAGAGTCAAACAGGAGACACTCAAAGCGAGTGTCAAGAAGAGAGTCAAAGAGTCGAACAGAGTCAAAACGAGAGTCAGTCAGTCAAACGAGTCATCGAGCCTTGGGTGGGAGTACAGTCAGGTCGCCAGTTGACGCACATAGAGACCCATAGACTCAAGCAGATACCCATAGACTCACATAGAGACCCATAGACGCACCCAGAGACCTATAGACTCACAAGGAGACCCATAGACTCAAGCAGATACCCATAGACTCACATAGAGACCCATAGACGCACCCAGAGACCTATAGACTCACGCGGAGACCCATAGACTCAAGCAAATACCCATAGACTCACCTAGAGACCCATAGACGCACCCAGAGACCCATAGACTCACGCGGAGACCCATAGACTCAAGCAAATACCCATAGACTCACCTAGAGACCCATAGACGCACCCAGAGACCCATAGACTCACGCGGAGACCCATAGACTCAAGCAAATACCCATAGACTCACATAGAGACTCATAGACGCACAAAGAGACCCATAGACGCACAAAGAGACCCATAGTCAGACGGAGACATTTAGGCTCAAATAGAGACCCATAAACTGACAGTGACGCAAAGACTTGCGGTCGAGATCCAAGCGCTCAGAAACACAACAGACTCGTACAGACTAGCACAGAAACACAACAGAGACACAACAGACTCGCACAGAAACACAGAGACACAACAGAAACAACAGAAACAACAGAAACACAACAGAAACACAACAGACTCGTACAGAGACACAACAGAAACACAACAGAAACACAACAGAGACACAACAGAAACACAACAGAGACACAACAGAAACACAACAGAAACACAACAGAAACACAACAGACTCGTACAGACTCGCACAGAAACACAACAGAAACACAACAGACTCGTACAGATTCGCACAGAAACACAACAGAAACACAACAGAAACACAACAGACTCGTACAGAGACACAACAGAAACACAACAGAGACACAACAGAAACACAACAGAAACACAACAGAAACACAACAGACTCGCACAGAAACACAACAGAAACACAACAGAGACACAACAGAAACACAACAGAAACACAACAGAGACACAACAGAAACACAACAGAGACACAACAGAGACACAACAGACTCGCACAGACTCGTACAGAAACACAACAGAAACACAACAGAAACACAACAGAAACAACAGAAACACAACAGAAACAACAGAAACACAACAGACTCGCACAGAGACACAACAGAAACACAACAGAAACACAACAGAGACACAACAGAGACACAACAGAAACACAACAGAAACACAACAGAGACACAACAGAAACACAACAGAAACACAACAGAAACACAACAGTCTCGCACAGACTCGCAGAAGTAACGGTTCGGCTCGGGTGTGCAACTACGGGCGCAAAAAACCGCGAGTCGAAGTTACGCAACGCTGCGTAAGCGTATGCTGTATGTACTGTGTGTACTGCCGTGATGGAACTCACGTGGCTTGAGTACTTGGTCACAGCGCTCATCGTCCAGCCCGTGTGCCGGGGAGCCCAGAAGCTTGGTACAGCCGAAAGCACGCGGTCCCGCCCTGCGAACGGTCTGTGGCGGGACTTCTGGCTTTTCGATGGCGTGGGGGGGGATGGGTTACATACGGCAAGAAGGTAATGGTAATGCATGTGCTCACACACACACACGCGCGCGCGTGAGTGAGTGTGTGTACACGGACGCAAACGAGTGAATCGGTTTCCGTTCAGTTTCGCAAAATTCTAATCTCCACGCCGGGTGCCTTATCGGCCATGCAGCGAGCGAGGGCGGGAGGACGGTGGGGGCGGCGGTGAGGGCTGTGACGTGTGCACATTGAATTTCTTTCCCACCGTACGTAGCCAACCGCACTATTCGTGGGTACGTGGAGTGATGGGAGCATTCGATGTTGGTGGGGGCATGTACAAGGGGGTGGGGGGGGATGGGATGATGGTGGTGCTGGGAGGGTGGTGATTGGAGTTTGGTGGTGAAGACGATGAGAGCTTGATGGTGGGGATGATGGGAGGATGATGATGATGGGAGGATGGCGATTGGAGGATGGTGGTGGGGATGATGATGATGTGAGGATGGTGATGGGAGGATGGTGGTAGGGGTGATGGGAGGATGATGATGGGAGGATGGCGATTGGAGGATGGTGGTGAAGACGATGTGAGCATGCTGGTGGGGATGATGTGAGGATGGTGACGGGAGGAGGGTGGGTGTGTTGGTGGTGTGGGGACGTGTGTGCGTGGTGGGGCAGTGGTTTGGTCGCACACTCAACGTTTCCCACAGCCTGTTTCCCGGCACACGCGTGCTACTCTGGGGCGTGATTATGGCGGCAGCAATTGGGTTCGGGAGCTAAATGCCAATGTCGAGGTCTGCCGCTGGCCACGACGAGAGGGCCCTCGGGAGAGAGAATTCGTGTCGCTTTGCTGTTCCTCGCCCGTTGAAGGAGCGCAGGCTACAGTGGTTTACTGTATGATCCATAGTGTGGATTGCATGGCTGCAATTGCACTACTGTGGCTTACGTCTTTAATTGTATATCTACCAGAGGTGTGGACTCGAGTCATGTGACTTGGACTCGAGTCAGACTCGAGTCATGAATTTGATGACTTCAGACTCGACTTGGACTTGCATAACAATGACTTTGTCCCACCTCTGATATCTACGTATCTCCCAAGAGTCTCTGTGCATCTCTGTGTATCTCTATGGGTGTCTGTGTGTATCTCCACGGGTATCTAAGGTTATATTTGTGCCTCTGTAACTTTACTACGTGGCCCATAGTGTGGGTGGCATGGCTGCAATCGCACTACTGTGGCTCGTGTCTTTAACTTTCAACAAGGGTAGCAGTGCGACACGTTACGAAATTACGATTTTTTTGGTTCTGAAGTATGGTACGCTATTATGCTGCGATACTTTTAAATCAGTGACGCTACGGTATTACGGTAGGATATTTATTCACCAGGTATGGTAGGAGAAGCACGCTTTTTTTTGGGTCGTACCCTTCTCGTACCAACTCAGGTGGTTGATTAATTCGAAGCTAAGTTTCTTCATTTCTGATAATCGTACTCCCCTCTTGGCTTTAAAGAAGGCTGTAAGAATTTAATTCACGAGTTATAAAAAAAATACAGCAGGCAAAGATTTATTCATAATATAGGTTTTTTTTGGGTTCGATCGCGTAAATATTAATGTGTCCTTAAAACCGCCACCACCCGACACAGCCAATTAGTAAGAGTTGTCACATAAACAGAACGTGCCAATTCGTTACTAGTACAGCACATCGGTGTGTTAGAGAGCAAATTCACAACATTTACAATCTGAGTACGATTTTTCGCCAGTAATTACAACTCGGCAGCAATTACAGCTAGCATCATCAGGCAGACAGCCACAAATCTGGTTGCCCGCCTGATGATGCAGGTTGTAAAAAAAAACCTATATTATGGATGATATTGGTCGCGAAAGCTATCATACTCTCAGTGGGCCTTACCTGGTAACATAAAGAATAGTTTATAGTTGTTTGATTAGTTTATAGTTTTATAGCATGGGCCTGCTGTTGATGTTGTGATGCGGTTGATGGTTACCCACCGCAGTGCCTTCGACGAGGAGGAGGAATTTCAAAGCCAGGAGGTGTGCGATGTTCGGCTTGCCGAATTTGGTGTTTATTCATCTTCTTCTTCTTATTATTATTATCTGTACTCATGGCATCGCATGGACGCTGTGAGAGGTGGAGGGAAGAGGACGAAAAAGCCTCGCCGATCACTGCCTCGTGGCGGCACTCGCTGGCATCACACGGATGCTGCGAGCGGCTTGAGAAGGCAGGACGGCGGGTGGGGGGGTCTTGGCGGACAAGATGTTGAAACGATATCTTTCGAACAGCCTCAGGCTCCCCTTTATTTCCCCCCTAACTTCAAAAGCCCGGGGTCGCGTTGTACCGCACGGCCAATCGTGCGCCTACCGGTGATTACAGCCCTGACATGGATCCCGCTAAGACAAGCTGCGTGCGTTCATGGCCGATCCCTACTTCAGTAGGGGAGTGCGTAGTTTTGTAGGATTCGCTTCCTACTATCGACGTTTCGTCGCGGGCTTCGCGTCCATTGCCAAGCCCCTCCACGCTCTTATGGCCAAGGGGGCAAAATTCTATTGGGGCAATGCAGAGCAGGCCACGTTTGACGCCCTTCGAGAGTGTCTGGTCAATGCCCCTTCCCTGAGTTATCCTGATTTTTCGGCGCCGTTCCTTCTGGACACGGACGCCAGTAATACTGTCATAGGAGGGGGGGGGGGTATTGTCCCAGATCATCGATGGCGTCGAGCGTGTGGTCGCCTACGGAAGTAGGGTGTTGTCGCCCGCTGAGCAGCGATACTCTGTCACCCGTCGAGAGCTGCTGGCTATTGTTTTCTTTGTACAGCAATACCGACCGTACCTGTACGGTAGAAAATTTACCGTACGCTCCGACCACGCTGCCCTACAGTATGCCCTCAGGGTTGAACAGCCGTCTGGTCAACTCTCCCGCTGGCTAGAAGTTCTTCAAGACTACTCATTCACCATTATCTACCGTAAGGGTGTCCGACACGGCAACGCCGACCCGCTTTCGCGGATGTACGGTCCTGACCAATGCGCTTGTTTCACGGAGTCGGGCCGCTGCAAACAGCCAGTAAATAACGCGCCTCCGTCCTTCACCGCGGCGGCCGAGGGTGTGATGGATCCCCTTCTGGAAACCGCTGTGCCCGCCGCCAAGGACGCCTTGTTGGGCCACGACTCTGACACGTGGGGCCGCCTCCAGGTGGAGGACGGTTTCCTCCTTGGGATACGCCGTCGAGCCAGCGAGGTCCACAGGCAAGGGGTTTCTGAGGGGCCAGTCTATTGTTGTAAGGGATGGCCTGCTCATGCGATGGGATGGCAGCGACCAGAAATACAAGTTGGTCGTGCCCACGTCCCTGCGCGGGAGGGCTGTGTTGGCCGCCCACCTGCGTCTTTTACACCTGGGGATACAAAAAACCCGTGCCACGCTCCGGCTGGAATTTTTCTGGCCAGGCATGGCGGGGGACGTCGCTAACTTACTTCAAGGTTGCCCCCAGTATGCTCGGCGAAAGCCTCCCTCTAAACCGTCATGCCCGCCCCTTCAATTAATTCATGTATCCCGCGTGAATGAGCTGGTTGTGCTTGATATCTTGGGGCCTTTTCCTGTCACTCCCCGTGGTAATAAGTACCTATTGGTTGGGGTTGAGTACTTCACCCCCTGGCCTATGGCCTGGCCGCTCCCCAACCAATCGGCGGCAGCCGTCACGGAGGCCTTTCTCCAGGGCTATGTCCTCGATAAGGGCGCTCCGGTGCGGCTGCTGACCGATCAAGAGAATAATTTTTCGTCCACCTTGTGGAGATCCCAATCTTCTTGCGATTCGGACACCTCGCCTTACCACCCACAAACTGACGGCAAGGTTGAGCTAAACAAGACGTTCAACGCTATGCTAAGCCACCAGGTGTCCGAATCGCAAGAGGATTGGGATATCCGCCTACCGAATGGCACCTCATGCGGCTACAGGGGTTTCCCCATTTTATTAGATGTATGGCAGAGAGGCCAATCCCCCAGTGGATGTTCAATTGCGTCTCATGCAGGCCTCCCTAAAATCCAAGATCGCCCAACACATTCGGTCCGATGTCCAAAAGTCGGTAGAGGCGCGAGAGGCGGCGAAGCACAATTCGGAGGCCCGCCAATTGGCCAACGAGCAACTGCGGAACCTCAGAGTTTCCACTCACAAGTGGTCTGTGGGTGACAGGGCATGGCTCCATTGCCCCCAAGTGCCACTGTCAACATCACTGAAGCTATTGACACCCCGGAGGGGCCCGGTCGACATTGTGCGGGTCGTTCGACCACAGTGTGTGAAGGTCCGCCACGAGAAGTGGTGCTGGTTTGTGCACCCGTCGCGTCTCAAACCCTTCTTTCCTCATCACACTACACCCACTCCACGCGGGGGCCAAGGGCGTAACGTGTCCCACGAGCCGAGTCGTGCGATCGCTGAGCCTAACCTTCAGCCCAGCCGTGTTGTTGCTCCCTCAGACGCCTCGGGAGTAGCGCCTCGGTGGTGCACTGCCCCAGCCACTGCGGACACCTGCCGCTCGGCTGACACATCACTGCAGGACCCCCATCCTCCGCTTCATGCAACCCCGCGGCCACGTCTTCCCCCCGGGGCTTACGATGGTCCATCGACCAGAACTCGATCCAAATCTAAAACTTTCTCCTTAACACTGCCATGCTCATCCGGCTCTCAGGTCGGCTCGAGGCAGTGCTCTGAAGACGAAGACAGAAGGCCGGCTAGGCTAGGACCCCGGGACCCGACGTCGTTTAAAGGGCCGGGGCCGAGTGCGGACCAGTGGTCGGACCTGCGCCTTGGCTGGGTCGGGTCCGTTAGCCTCCCCTAGGTCACCCTTAGCCGGAGGGCTCTGAGTTAGTTCCAGTGATAGGGCACGTTCGCCCGGACTCTATACCTCCCTGGAGAGCGTGGTAAGAGCATTGGGTTACTTTGTTATAAATAAATGTGTTGCCTCTAAAGTAACGTCTCAAGTCTCCGTGGAACCCACTACAGAAGTAACAATTGCTGATATGATCTGTTGGCTCTCTCTCCAAATCATTGGCACTGCAAAAAGCATAGATTTACTTTTCCTGTTCAAC